AACTCCAATAGCCCGACTGTGTGAATTGTTAAAACTTTATAAACCTGCATGTGTGTCATGGTCTTGCTCATTTTCCTGTTTGTTAAATTGGAAACGCTGCTTGTCTGTAGGTGTACCGCTATGGAGCCATCATAGGGTATGCTTGCTTCTGGCATTTTCTGGCCCAGGTGTTTACATGTGAGATCTTTCTCCCAGTCTTCTACAGGCTGCCCATTACCAGCACTTTTCAGGTAAGTGTAGTAGCTTTTTGCAGATTGTGTACAATAACCAGAAGCGCATCTGTAATTTAAAGGGAAGATATCAGCTTGTTTGGCTTCTGGTTAAACCAGTTATGATCTATTGTGTAATAAAATGTTTGTTTTTTAATTAGACTGCTCTGTGGTACAATAAATGCACCACTACTTGTTTGTTTTTTAAAAAGTCTGTTTGGATGCTGTATGAGTAACTGTCTTCTCTACCAAGTATCTGGAGCTGCGTTATAACAAAGTAACCCGCCTGCTGGTAACATTCCTCGCTATTATTCAAACAGTGAGTATGGCAGTAAGCAAGTTTTAAGAGTTGTTTGGCTAGGGCCACATATCTGTAACCAGATGGCTATTTGTCCTTTTTTACCACAGCTCCTCTTGTCTGGACTTGCGATTTATGCTCCAGCCCTCGCATTAAGTCAAGGTATGTTCAGGCCAAAGCTGACAGATTCAGGAAACATTACTGCACAAGTAAACTTGCGGGTACTTGAGTGACCAGTATCTTAAATGTTCCCTCTTCTCTGCAGTGACTGGCTGGAATCTGTGGGTGGTAATCGTGGTAACAGGAATGGTCTGTACCGCATACTGCGCATTGGTATGGAACAACAAAAGCTGCAGAAGTCATCTCTCTCTGCTATACATTTCCCTTAAACTGAACTGTTTCTTGCTTTGGCTGTCTGGATTTAAATGGGCTCATTATTGCAGGGTGGAATGAAGGCAGTGGTTTGGACAGATGTTTTCCAGGTAGGCTTCAACACGCAAGATTACTCTTAATGCTACGTAGCCTACATGGAAGAATATCAAATGAGTCAATTTTGAGTGCCAGGACATTTGGCTTTAATTCTAAATCGCAATTAAACTTGAATTCTAGTTGTAGCAGCGGGGTAACTGTCTTGATATAATGATCTGATTTTATCTTCTAGGTTGGAATAATGTTAGCAGGCCTCCTCTGTGTCATATCCAAGTGTCTCTTCTTAGAAGGAGGAGTTTCTATTCTGTCCAATTCACAACAAGGAGGAAGACTGAACTTTCTGGAGTGAGTATAAGGGAAGAAAGTAAAGTAACTTTAAGAGCCTGCATATTCAAACCCTTGCATCTCAATACTGAGGAATTGTTTTAGCAAATTGATGAGTACAATTTTGCAACATCTTAATTCAAATGATAGAAATGTACAGTAAATTAAAGTGTATTTCAAATTTATTTAACTTAAGAGTACTTGTGTGTTTGAGCCCCACTGTTGGAACTGAGTGCAACAAAAGCACTGCTTTCTTTACTTGGATTTAAATCACAGTACTTGAACTAGGCACTTTGATAGACTGAACTTCTGGAAACAAATTGCTTCTGTACTATTGTCTGAAAATAAGCCAAAGAACTCTGGCTGAAGCCCAATCTAGGGAGTGATTGTCCAGGTAA